TAACACTGTAGATTGTTAATTCAACTCTTTGGGAATTAATAACTTTTAACTGCAGATATTACACTGCTGATTTTACTGTGTAGGATGCCTTGAGGGTGAGTAATTTATGGGCTAATTTAAATTTTTGGTTGAACTAACCCTTTAAGTTCTTGTGCATGTGATCGGTCTGCTGATCAGACGTTAAATGCATGATGAAACACATTGTAGGATATCAGACCGAATCAGACAATCTAAGATTTGGTTTCCTCACTTTCTCTCTTTCTGCAACTTGTGTGTGAATGCGTGTGTTAGATTAGTTTATATGTCTTAGATTTATCCAATAAAGTCTTATTTATATGGATAAGAGAAGTATCTTGTGTTTTGTGCTCACAAGTTAATGTCTTAAACTGCCGATCTTGTTACATGTGCTAATTAATAGTGTTTTCACTATATTTTGGATATAGATATCCATTGCAGAATTGCTGTCATACGGCTCGTTCACTGACTCGCTGGCCGTCTCAGTGATCAGCCGTAAAACAGTGATTCTGTCCTAATTCCCTTGCATATTAATGGTGGAGTTCCCTTTAAAATCTTAAATGATTCCCTTTGAGCTAAATTAAAATTATCACTGTTTCCCTTACAACATGATTATTATGGTTGAATATCTTTTCTAAATGCACACATTTTCACTGCTATATTCTCATTTCACGCCTAGACTGTTCACCGCTCTCTTTCTCTCCTTCAGTTTATCTCTCTCACACACATAAAGAAAGCTAACTACTGTAACCTTATTTCATTCCCTGGCTGATAAGTTTTAAAGTTAATATTTCTACACATTATTCAGAAAAGAAAATCACATTTTCCTGTATGAGAGAGACTTCCTGGTTTGTGTGTTACGATAAGCCTTCGCATTTTAATTAGTTTTGTAAAACATCTTTTATTTCTTAAAAACACTAACCCTAACACTAGCTGAAAAATATTGCAACTTTGTTTTGTTTGGTGTTTTTGTTGAATGTTAATGAGGTTTTGAACTGATTTGTAAAGGTTGGGAGAAGCTTTTCTGAAGGATATGTGAAGACTGGATGTGTTGTGATACTAATGAAGATTTTAATTGATAGATAAAAGACCATGTGAATCCAAAATGAGAAAATGATGGTGTGTAGTCAATGTCTAATAGCTTTAAAGTGGTCTGTATGTGTTTAAAGTGTTGATAAAATTCACTTTTATCTTTTACACATTTAAAAACTGGACCAAAATATTGATTATCTTTGTTGACTTTCACATTTTGTTCTACAAGTAATGTTCACCACAGACCTTGTTTTTATGTTATAGATCCAAATCCACTTTTGTAAAAAGCCATTAGAAATGGCAAATGGCTAGAAAATGCTATTTCTCTTATGGATTTTTGGACAAATTTAAAAGAAAAGAAAAGCCTTTCAATATGTATTGCCATAACTTCCTGTTTCAATTGGATGTATGTCACCACAGGAAAAAGAATTGCATATATTAAACCATCTTATGGGGTCTTAAATAAGGGCCCAAGATACATGTAGACATGAGTCAGATTTTTAAAAATGTAGGTGAGATTTATGATACCTGTTTTAAATATTGTCCACCTGCAGAATGACAACTTGATCTGCAAGTATGAAGCATCCAGCAAGCAGATAGTCTGTTCTTATTCCTCTAAATAAATAACCATGTCAGTGTGAGTGAGAGGGTAAAACACACAGAAAGAACTTGCAGGCAAGAGCAGAGAAAGATAACATGCAGGAAATTGAGAAAGGATGACAGCTCTGTGTGAGCCAAGAGATGCTCGAGATCTATTTCTGCAGTACTCTTAACCTTTGCACAGGTCTTAAAGTCAGATATCTTAAATTCACACTATGAACAGAACAAGGCGGGTAGAGCAATTATGCACACTTTAAATTACTATCACATTATAGCTCATTGTATTATATGAGCTCTCCAAACAACCCCAGACCATATCAAGCAATGGTCAGTTTGTTATCCACAGTGAGATTTGCATAGATGTCATTGTCCATTATGAATACAGTGAACTTCTTTTTTTGATGCACTTGCATAATTACTAACCTTTTTGACCATTACAGGTTACCAAGTCCAGAAAAGATAACTGCATTATTGCAGATTTGGGATGAGGAGTATATAAAAAAAACTCAACTAGGTCATCCTCCTCTATGAAAGGGTTTAACCAGATTGCTTTACTATAAAATGATTTGTGAACGTAAAGAATTTGAGACATATTGTTGCAAATTAGTATTATTAAAAGGAAATAATGATAACGAGGCATTTTATGAATTATAATAAATACTGTAGTATTTAGGTGAGCTGGATTCCAAAAAAAAGGTTATTTTATTTTATTATGATTCATGCAATAAAAAATATACGTAATATTCTATTTAAAATATATACATAATAATTAAAATATTATTTAAATTGTTTATATTTTTATTGTTATTGTCATTGCTATTATTGTTTAAAATGTTCATATTTATATTTTTGTTCAAATTTAGTATTATTATTTTTACAAAGCCATTTATGTTTTCAAGCTCAACATAGACTTCTTCATGTGTATTAAACATAAGCTAAATAAACAATTAAATTATTAATCACAATTATTTGTATTATAGTTAATCACCAGCCACGTTTTACAGCCAACAGCTCTAGTGGAGGAAGAGAGAAGTGCAGTACAGACAAAGCTGCTACTTCTGCTAACAGACGGACAAACAGATGGAGAAGTGTTTTAAAGCTGTGTGTGTGTGTGTGTGTTTTAGAGTTGACTCTTAGTCACTGTACTGCCCATCCAGGAAATGAGCGCCTCTCTGCTCTGCTGCACTAAGGCCTACATTATGCCTCTCTGTCTGTCTGTATCTGTCTTACACGCGCGCACACACGCAATGTATGAGAATGGACTAGAGCTCCCTCTAGAGTTTCTGTGCATTAAGTGCCCCTTTTCTATTTTTAGGAGATAAAGAAAGACTCGAAAAAAGAGGTGAAGAAGGAGTCCAGTTTGGCCGGATCCAAATCAGACCTGTCCAATGGCAGTGCCAGCCCAAAATCAGAACCCAGCCTCAGATCCACCAAGAAAGGTAGTGTATCTGATCTATTCCAGATCTGAAAAGTAGTTCAGTGCTTATTCAGCACAATACACCCACACAAACATCCCCTCATGTCTCACAGGAGAGGATTTGGGGGGCGGTTAAAGTTTCCGTCAATCGAAGATTCAATTATACAGAGGTCTGGCTCAGGTTTGCTTCTGGCAGATGAAAAGAGTGACAGTTATATAAAAAAATACTCTTGCAAAGACATTCAAGCCGGGTCGGAATATGTCTATCAGACCTGTGTGTGTGTGTGTGTGTGTGATTGGGCCTTTGAGAGTAAGTACAGTATTACTCTCCTCCCACCAGAAACCATTTAGTCCTACCACTTCCTGTGTGCGTGTGTGTGATGCGTAATTAAACATTATTAAATCTCTCCTACTCTAATAATTACAGAAACTACACATGCTGTCTTTTTAGGGCCATTGTGAATCTTCTGATTGGTCAGATTTGAGTTGAATTGAGAATGTTGTCAAATTAAATTAAGTACAAATACACAATAAAAAAATGCTTAAACATAACAATAGGACACTTTGATCTTATAAAAATGACTCACTTTTTAGTGATACTGTGTAATCATGTGAAGATATAATGACATTCAGTATGTTTGCTAAATTATTAATATCACTTACATAATTAAACAATTAAGTAAATAATTAAGGTCACAGACATGTATTTAAAAAATAAATAAATACAAACTGATCTGCCAGATACTATTTTCACTATTTTATTTTAAGTGGAACAGATACTCAGCTGGTTTCTGAAACACAAGCTCTGTTTACAGCCCTTAATTTATATCTCCTGATTTTCAGACAACAGTGCTAGTGTCCGTTCATGTGACTTTAATTTGTTTTGCAGATAGAGATGTTGGCTTCCAAAGGAAAAGTGAGTCAAAATACTGTATGTGTGTCTCATTGGTTTTCTCCAGGCTATTAAGTATTGAAATCTTTTGGCATTGTCAGTGCTTTATGGCATAAAGATATTAATATCGGTAGGTGAGAGCTGGACTGCCCAGTTTCTCCATTCTGTAGAGAACTGAAACTGGGTATCTGTTGTCAGAGGCTGTTTGTTGTCATGAGCCACAGAGGTCTATGTGTTTAGTGAGTAGTCTTGGAGCAAAACTTGTAGCTAAATGTTTAGTAAAGAGAAGACCGACATCTAGTGCTAGAATGTATAAATGCAGCACGACTGTTTTCAATATAGATAATAATAATAATAAATGCTGTTAGCAAATCAGCGCATTAGAATGATTTCTGAAGGATCATGTGACACTAAAGACTGGGGAAATGGCTGCTGAAAATTCAGTTTTTCCATCACAGGAATAAATTACATTTTTAAATATATTAAGGTAGAAAACAGTTATTTTAAATTGTAAACATATTTGACAATATTACTATTTTTACTGTACTTTTGATCAAATAAATGCAGCCTTGGTGAGCATAAAATACTTCTTTCTAGGGATGTAATTCAACTCACGATGCGATACGATTCACGATACTGATTTCACGATATGATTTTCTCACTATTTTTTTTTTTACAAAATGAGATTTAAGACAAGTTATAAATGAAAAAGTGTCTTTTTATTATTGCTTGGACAAAATGCTGCATATTTCTGTGTGAAATTCAAATATGTCAAAAAAACTAAACTAAATTGAAATTTTAAGACAAACCAAACCAAATCAAATAAATGAACAATGCAAATAAAATAAATCTCTTCATATAAACAAATCTATGCCCTTTTTTGTTTAAAATTAGAGGCAATCACTGTATTTTAATCACAATCCAAACAAAGATGCTACATACATGCAGCATGAGCAGTTTTTAATCTAAATTAGATTGTATAATTTCGAAATTTGAAGCAAAAACAGAGTGAGCTGACTTTAATTTTGTGAAACTATACTACGTGAAACATATCTACACGAAACAGAAACAGCAGACGTGCTGAATGAAAACGCAAATTCACTCTCTGCCAGCAGGTGGCGCTTATGGAACAGCAGTAATACAGCGTGTTTCTTTGGATACAGCTGTAAACAAACAGTTTAATATGCATTATTCTGAGGCAAGATGTGAAGAAAATACCATGTAAACTTTTCTGAAGACAGTCAGTTCCCCTCAGAGATACATTCATATAAACTCCTACCTCCAGCTGTATCGCGATTTGTTTAACATCTAAACCGATTTGAGTCGTCACGTATTTGTATCGATATTCAGCCGGCTCAGCATCGTTACATCCCTTCTTCTTTCAAGAACATTAAAATTCTTACTGACCCCGAACTTTTGAAAGATTACAAACATTATTTATCATAATTTATCCATGTTTCATGTAAACAGGTGAGGCATTCAGAAAAAGGCGTTGCAAAGCTGTCTTTAGCTACGCTCCGCAGAATGAGGATGAGCTAGAACTGAAGATCGGAGATGTTATTGAGGTTCTGGGAGAGGTGGGTACTGCATGGTCATTCTAGTCACATTATCATTTTTTCAAATGTAGAACCTCTTGTTTATTTGTAGTTCTTAAAACTGCTTCTGTGTGTGTTTGCTCGCTCAGGTGGAGGAGGGATGGTGGGAAGGCACTCTCAGTGGCAAAACTGGGATGTTCCCCTCTAACTTCACCAAGGAGCTGTTGGCCGAGGCTGAGGATCTGACCCCACAGGATGACACACGGAGCACACGAACCAGTCAGTCTGCACTGCATACTCATTTGCCAACATCTAAACTTCTTCCTCACATCCAGGTCATGATAAAATGAAATGGAATTTATTTTGGAGCATGTTTTTTGTTTTGTTTTTTCATTGAAGACTTGTCTTACTGAAGTGGCAAACCAGCAAGCAAGCAGATGGTGAAACATGAAAGTTTCATCACATCGCATATGACATTGCTATTCACACCATTAAGCAAGCAACTCCCACAGTAATTTGTGAGTCTTGTGATGTTACAGATTGAAATGAGGTTAAGTGTGGGGGAATCTCCACCTCCTCCCTACGGCTGATGAAGTCACTTGGATGAGTAGTGAAACATTTTTAATAAATGGAAGAAATGTATCTAGATACTTATACGTTTTACAAAATAACCAGCCACATCTAACCAATTATGCCACATTTGTCTTAAACCATTCACTTCCTCTTCTGTTTTTGACAAATTGCAAGTATTCAATTCAGTTGAATTCAAAACACTTGCTAAAAGAATATGAAATATTTTATATGTTTAGTTGCATGGCATTTGACCATTAACTGGCAACAGAGAACTGTGAACATGCAAATGTGTTTTTAAGTTATTGAAACATTAACTTAAATTCTCAGGAGGTACTTAAACTAAATATTTTAGGTCAAATCAGGCTGACAAAAAAGTTTGAGAATCCCTATCCTAATAGATGTATGCACCATTTTTTTTTTTTTTGTACTTTCATTTTAATTAATATTATTTACATTACTGTTGAACAGTATGGGGTCGAGAAGATGTTTTGAAATATGTCTATTATGCCCACCAAGGCTGCATTTATTTGATCCAAAATACAATAAAATTGTGAAATATTTTTACAATTTAAAATTATATATATAATTATATTTTAATATATTTTCTAAAATAGCATAAACCAGAAATCATTCTAATATGTTGATTTGATGTTGAAGAACTTTTATTCTATTATTAGCAATGTTGAAAACAGATGTGCTGTTTAATATTTTTTTGTGGAAACTATAATTAATACTTTTTAGTCATTGATGAATAGAAAGTTCAAAAGAACAGCATTTTTTTATGGATTTTTTTAAACAATATGAATAGCTTTACTGTTACTTTTGATCATTTAAATGCTTCCTTGCTTAATAAAAGTATTAATTTCATTTTAAAAAAATCTTACTGAACCCAGACTTTTGAACAGTAGTGTATATTGATTCATAGTTATTTTATTATTTTTCAAATGCATTACTGTGTTTATTACCATATTAATTTTAGCTGTGACATTGAAATTGATATCAAGAATTGTAAATGTTCACATATAATACCAATACCAGAAAAATTTCACAAAGTCAATTTCAATGTCACAGCTAAAATTAATATGCTAATGGTCCCAATAATTTATCACTGACCTACTGAGATTTTGTAATTGTGACAACCCTACACAGCACTCTCGACGAGGATCCCTGGACAGATCGACTCTTAACAGTTCAGCTGTGAAGAATGCTGCATGCAAAGCTGCATGCAAATACTTGATTCCTCCTTTGTGTATCTGCTGAAGATTGTTACATTTTTAAAACTTCAGTACCGACATCGGTACTTTTGACAACACTGCCTTATGGCTGGGCGATATGGAAAAAAAAATAAAATCTCGATTTTTTTTTTTTTTTTTTTTTCAGAACTTTGACCGATTCGCTTTTTTTTAACTAGTCAACTTGAAAATGTCACTACAACATAATTCAAGTAACTTTTTCTTTATTTACCCTCTAATTAAAGAAATTTCTATTTCAAGTGCACCACACATGAATTTGTCAACATGATGTAAACGTTAAACAAATCACTTGTTAAATATCTTTGCAAAAAAGATGCATGAACTACAACTACATCTTGTACAAACTTGAAATAATACAAGGAAAATGCTTTAAAAAAAAATCTCAAAAGTCAAGGTAATTCAAATTCAAATCGACTAAAGGTATAACACCAGTAGACTATTATTATTAACTATAAATGTTCTGTAAAAACAATGAACAATGAACAGCCTGTCACCATGATGCAAACATGAAATTTCAGACATACAGTAGTAGTTATTTACAGGTTTTTATTGGATTGCGCTGCTTTCCCATTGTTTTTTTTTTCTATGTGAACATGGACACGTTTGACTGTTGCGCTCGCGTCTCTTGCAGTGTCTCATGCATGAAATGACATTCTAAAAATGTGGCGCTCAAGTTAAAAGAAATTCAACTCCCATATTTCTGCATTTTTTCCTATTCCACTGCCCGCGTCACATCTTTGTCAACACAAAAGCGCATTCTGTGTGAATGGCACCTTATGTTCCTTCACAGAGCGGTTAAATCATGTGTGCCGACATGCGGTTGGATCATTCTTTTCTCTTTACTGTTAACATTGGCATTAGAGGTCGACTGATGTATCAGTTTTGCTGATTAATCGGCACCGATATTTGATTGCTGGAACTATCAGTTATCGTCAAAAATCCATGCCGATAGTTTTCCCGGGTTGCGTCCATTGCTGGAGTGGCTGAGAAGGGTCTGCTGTCATTATACAGTGCGAGAGCGGCCTCTAGTGGTTGAAATCATTGACAGCACGTGCTATTTGTTTAGACACGTGATACTGTGAAACTTCAGACGCGGATTTAAATGTAGCAGACAGAAAATCCTGCCGTGCCATTCACATAGTCTGTTTGGTGATTAAATAAACTCTTTTAGACCGCTGCTTGAGTTGAACGCGATGTGTCCGGAGTGTGTGTGATACCGGTGAGTTTTCTAGACTCAGCGCTGCGCTTTTATTTTGATTAGATAATCATCAAGTGTTCAAGAATAGAAGCAGTTCAAGTCTGAGAGTATACATACAATATCCATATGTATATAGTTTTAATGCTATAGCCTTTGTGTATATATTTAAAGATGTGCATCTTTAAGCATGACCGTTGAAATGAAATGGTAACACTTTAAAATAAGAGTCCATTTGTAGCATTAAGATTAATGAAAGCTGTGTAAGTATTGTTCCTTGTTAGAATGTGTTAATTTCAACATTTACTATTACTATTATTATTATTATTTTTACTACTACTACTAGTATGGTTCAGTACTGGTTTTGTTGATAAAGCTCTATTTTAGTTTTTGTTCAGTATCAAGTTTAAAACAATCTGTTAATTAATCGGTATCGGCCAGTGTGGTCCAACCAAGCTATCGGTATCGGCAAAATCCACTATCGGTCGACCTCTAATTGGCAAATTGTCAAAGAGTCTACTTCTAATGTTTGGTAATATTTATATTCAAAATCGTCATTCCTCGATTTATAAAAAATACAATTGTGGCAAAACATTACATTCGAATTAATCAATCAAATCTGAAAATTGCCCAGCCCTACTGTGGCTACATTCACACTGTCAGTTTTTGGGATTGACAACTGCATTTACTTACAGGTGTGAGCCTCGAAATGTCACGTTCACACAGCAACTTACAGTAGCTTCTAGGATACTGTCTGTATGAACGTGCAACGGGAGTCAAGCCCGTATTCCTTACCAGTTACCATAGCGACTGTGACCAAAGTAATATTAAAGATGGCGACATCCATAAAACTGATGTCTTATAAGTTTCTGACACGACAAGAGTCCAATCGAGGCGCAAATTCATCCATCAAATCTTCATTAACTGACAGTAGCTTTTATAGTTGGGTGGAGTGGCCTATTTCTGCAGTACACAGAAGGTACCACATGTGAATTATCTGTATGCATACTTTAAGAATGCACAAAATATTGTTACATTATCGGTTGAGTTCTTTAAACTCATATGTATTGCTCAGTTTTGGGATATTTAATTATGCATGCTTATTTCCCCTATTTTTACATTTAGATTACCTGCCATCATCTGTCACTTAATGTGAATCTTTAAAAACACAAATAATTTATTAACACTGTTCAATGTAATATTTAGCAAATATAAAAATGTATATACATTTTTCATACTGAACATTATAATGTTGTGGGGCATAAATTCACTTGATTTTAGTTTTACATTTTATTTTTAAATTAATTTTAGTTACATTTTTAATTAGTTGCATTTTAAACAACTATTCCTTTAAAAAATTATTAATAAAATAAATATGTTTTGGTTTAAAACAGTGTACACTACCTTCATTATTGTACCCATGATGCAACGTGTTCAACTTGATTTCCTGTGATAATGAATACAGGTGTAATATCAGCATATTTTTTTACTCTTTATTTTCTTAAATTGCCAAAAATTAACAAAAGTGCAAAATAGTCATATTTATGTAAATTAAACATGCAAACTGATGAAGTCATGTGAGAACAATGTGACTTAATACTCTTTAAATATGTTTATAGTTGCATTTTGTTATTTAAAGAAATAGTTGGCAGTAGGCAAGTAATCCATTTTAAATATAGCATTTGTGCTTGTGTGTGTGTGTGTGTGTGCGCGCGCGTGTGTGCGTGTGTGTGTGTGTGGATGAAGATCACACACAAATAGCTCATCTGGTACTCTCGGTCACTTAGAAAGGAAGTCATTATCAAAGAGGTTTTTATTGAACGTCTTCCGCACTTTGTGTCTCTCAGCCTCACTTTGTTTATTCCGAAAGAAAAGGAAATCTCTCTAGATTGTCTCTGGATATCTAGTATTATATATTCCAGTGCTTAACTCTTCCACCTGTTGCATACAGAGACAATTTTCTGCTTTGCAAGGCAAGTAATCAATGGAATATGGAAATCCAGTGTCGCTTACAAGCTGTAGGTTTACCCATATACAAATTTACCACTCCCTTACACGGCTCTCTTTCCATATCCACCCCTCTCTTCCTCTCTTCCTCTCTTCCTCTCTCTCTGAGTGGTTTCCTGACTTCAGGGCTGTTTTAAAGCAGAAGTAGGGCTTGTAAGACTGTAAGAGACTGTCATGACTCAGGGGGGAGTGAACCGCAGTTAGACTGAAAGCTTGTTGGAGGTTCCTGTTGCAGGCAGGACTTGCGCACGTAGATGTAGGTATCTACACCAGCCATTTCTGAAGGATTGTTTTGTCATTTTGCGAAAAGGTAAATATGAAATGAGCTATTTTGATCTATTCATCTTTCTATGTTAATTATGTGAAACTGTGGCTAGAAGTGAGCTGTTAAACACAACGACCGAGATGTGTTTTGTTTCATGTGGCGGTAATTTGGGCTTCGAGACAGGGCATTATGGGTGTTCTGGGCATGGAAGTCACCGTAGGGACTTCACAGAGATGACATGAGGCCTTTGAGAACAGCAGTGCAGCAAGATGTTTTAATGATGTTCCTATTATGTCGTTTAAACATTTGGCTGCCACATGGTGCTTGTTAGTCCGACTCCATCATGACTGCTCTAAATGAGAGGAAAAGGAAGAGAGGGAGAAGGAGGAAGAGTTTTCTCTCTCACCGAACACAGCAAATGTGTGTGTGTGTGTGTTAAGGCCACATTGGGAGTGCAGGATGTTAAAGAGCTTGTTGTGTCGGGTTGGATTGATTCCCTGCCATGTTTGTGGAAGGACTGTGGTTCCCCTGCCGGAAAGAGGCCAGATAAACAGAGCCAAATGGACAGAATGCTATTCACACACGTATGTTTGAATTCACTGGGCCCCTGACAGCTTTTTATGGCCACAGCATCTTTTAACTAATACTATAAATGATTGCAGATTATTATCAAATAAATGCATCTGTTTTTGCAAGACTGTTGGAAGAAATAGTGCCGCCCTCATCAGGGTTGGGGGTCAATGTTCCTAGTTACCCTCAATGATGACCATTAATTATCAACAGCATTATTATTTTTAATATGAGTTGAAACTAATATGAAATTACTTTTTAATATATTTGTTTATAATTAAATTTTTTTATAAATGTATAAAATATATACATTTGTAATATATGTGTGTGTGTGTGTGTGTGTGTGTGTGTGTGTGTGTGTGTGTGTGTGTGTGTTTTTGTGAGAAAAAAAAAAGTATTTATTTTTTTTAAGAATGCTATTCACACACGTATGTTTGAATTCACTGGGCCCCTGACAGCTTTTTATGGCCACAGCATCTTTTAACTAATACTATAAATGATTGCAGATTATTATCAAATAAATGCATCTGTTTTTGCAAGACTGTTGGAAGAAATAGTGCCGCCCTCATCAGGGTTGGGGGTCAATGTTCCTAGTTACCCTCAATGATGACCATTAATTATCAACAGCATTATTATTTTTAATATGAGTTGAAACTAATATGAAATTACTTTTTAATATATTTGTTTATAATTAAATTTTTTTTATAAATGTAAAAAATATATACATTTGTAATATGTGTGTGTGTGTGTGTGTGTGTGTGTGTGTGTGTGTGTGTGTGATTTTATGAGTAACAAACAAGTATTTATGTTTATTATGGGTAACACTTTACAATAAGGTTCATTAGTTAACATTAGTTAACTACTTTAGTTAACATGAACTATGCATGTACAATACTTCTACAGCATTTATTAATCCTAGCTAATGTTAATTTTAACATTTACTAATAATGCATTATTAAAATCAAAAGTTGTGCTTGTTAACATTAGTTAATGCACTGTGAATTAACATGAACTAACAATGAACGACTGTATTTTCATTAACATTAACAAAGATTAATAAATACTGTAATGTATTGTTCATTGTTTGTTCATGTTAGTTAATACATTAACTAGCATTAACTAATGGAACCTTATTGTAAAGTGTTACCATCTTATGTATGATATAAATTATGGATGATATAAATGTATGTTTTTATATTTCTTTTACACTACTGTTCAAAAGTTTAAGGTCAGTAAGATTTTTTTTTTAAATGTATACTTTTATTTAGCAAGGACGCATGCAATTTATCAAAAGTGACAGTAAAGACATTTAAAACATTACAAAAGATTTCTGATCAAAAATAAATACTGCTCTATTGAACTTTCTATTCACCAAAGAATCTATTCTGTTCCACAAAAATATGAAGTTGAACTATTTTCAACATTGATAATAAGAAATGTTTTTTGAGCAGCAAATCAGCATATTAGAATGATTTCTGAAGGATCATGTGACAATGAAATGATGCTGAAAATTCAGATTTGCATTCAAGGAATAAATGACGTTTTAAAATATATTACAATAAAAAACAGTTATTTTAAATTGTAATATTTCACAATATTACAAAAAAAAAAGTCATATTATCGTATGTATTTTTTATCTTACCAACCCTAAACTTTGAACGTTAGCGTTTATAAATTATTACAGTATTTAATATAAGTATTTGATTCTCCTCAGCCTCCAATGGTGAAGAAAGTCGCTCTAGCTGTTGCCCAGGAAACCATGAAGGCGGAGCCTGAGAACAAGGCCAAAGGTAACAGGATTAGATCACACCTGTGCTGTGGATTATTTAAATGCTCAAGTTGTTTATGTACTCAAATTGTATGCAAATACAACATAATTGTTTCTTGATGTGACTTGTGACTGTGAAAATTCAAATTACAGCAAAGGAGCTTTGCAAAGTAATTTTCCCGTACGAAGCTCAGAACGAAGATGAGCTGTCAATCAAAGAGGGAGATATCGTAACGGTTATCAATAAGGTGAGTTTGGTGAATACACCTCAGAATTGTGCAAAAAATCAATAACTTAACAGTATATTATACATCAAATATTCTAATTGGCGTTTGGCCTCTTTAGAACACAAATAGACTAATATGTGTTTTCGCTGTGTGTAGGACAGTGCAGACACTGGTTGGTGGCTTGGAGAGCTGAACGGCAAACAGGGAGTGTTTCCAGACAACTTTGTGAAGTTATTCATTCCTGAGGTAGAAAAAGAGGTGAGATCTTCTTGTTTGTTTCTCACTGACACACTTCAGCTGTTTCCAACGGGGAGCTCCCGTCCTGTATGACAGCGGGCCTCAGTCTCTGAGTGAAGGCAGAGCTGTGGTGAAATACACACACACACATGCTCCCCTCTGCCCTGTACCTTTGCCTCCCTCTTCACCCTTTGCCTGATGTAGCAGCATGTCCTTTGATGTTTTAGTGCTGTTTGGCCTGAAGGGATTGTGTTTTTAAAAGGACAAATGTGTATGAATCCATGTGGGTGTTTTAACTGTGTACTGTGTGTTTAAACTGTGTGTGCGCTTACAGAGACCTAAAAAACCTCCTCCACCTGCAGCACCAACCACTAAACAGATCACAGGTAACAAACTCTTCTTTCCTTTCTGCATTTTTTCTTTATTTCTTCTCACTATGTAAGCTTACATGCCCATCTGTGACTGTGTTTCTGCTCGATGTATGAACTTTCACAATCAGGTTTAATCACCTGAAAATGACAGCGGGGGTCTTGTTCAAACTGATGCTACCATACTACATGTACCATTTTTGAGTATGACTAGCCAAATGATTTGCTACATATGTTAAAATGTGTAGCTTGCAGTCAAAGTATTGTATCCCACAATGCAAAACTCTAGACTTGACCTTCCATTTCCAGTGTGACAAATGAAATCAAGGATTGAATAATCATTTGTGTCACTAAATTAAACATGCAACAAGGTCATATGAAGTTATATAAATACAATATAGCATTCCAATTTAAAACAGGTTTTAAAAAATCATTATATTATATTATTATAAATAATCATGTCTCTTCAGGTGAATTCTGGCTCTAACTTGTGGAGAACGATAAGTCTATCTGTCTATAAGTCTTATAATATAATATAATATAATAAATACTCAAGCTGCAACAAACTTTTTTTTGTTCAAGTTGTAAAACCTCTGATTATATTCTCCAGCATGATTTAAGATGATCCCAAAAATATCAGCAAGAACACCTGATTGTCTGTACTAAGAGTCACTTGATCAGTGTTTTAATTTGTTTAATAAATAAATAATGTATATAATTGAATTAGTGACCTATAAATAGTGCAGAAAAGTGCAGTGTTTTTCTTCATTTTATATCATGTTTGTTTTACATTTTTTTTTCAAAATTTCTGGGTTTAAATTGGATTGGATTTTGAAACCCAGATGTTCAGTGTGGTACCATACTCATACCCTATAGGTTTTGACATGTTTCTGTGTCACTTTAACTGAAAGCTTGGCAATGAGTCAGCTGTTCCCTGTTGAACCCTCATATTTTGTGTATTGATCCCCAGACAAAAAGACAGAGGCTAAAAGGGTTCCACCAGAACGGCCTGAATCTCTCCCACACAGAGCTGAGGAAAAAGGTAGGTAACGTCTCTCTCATCTGTTTTAATTTGCTTTGGTCAACTCTAATTCTGTGACTTTGACCTTCTACAGCAAAACCTACAGCTCTGTGCTGCCTTTCTCTGAAAGATTTAGATTGGCTTACTGCTTGTGTGTTTTCAAAGACTTCTTGTTTCTCTGAAGTAAACACATGTTGGAATTACATTTTCCCTCTCTGCTTTGACAAACCCTCTCTTAGTTTCCTGTAAACAAACTTGTATGACTTTTAATGCCCTTTAATAATGATGATGATGATTACATGTAGGCGAGGAGTCGAAGCTGGGTGAGATTGCAAAGCCATCCTTCCCAGCTGCCCTCCCAAAGAAGCCTCTCCCCCCAAAGAACAACAACTCATTGAATCGACCGTTATCGCTACCACCCAAACGCCCAGACAGACCCGAGAGACCAGCTGTGCCCAATATACCGTCAGTCTCACACACAAACACGCATGAATCAGCATCACTAATACTAGATCACGGAACACACACATTTGCAAAGTAACAAGATTCTCAGCCCATTATATACACTTATAAAAAGATATAAAGTATCTATAATAATGGTGAATGGTGTCTTTTTTGAGTGTTCTGGTTGATACAACAATGACTGTGAACTTTATATTGACCCCTAGTGATTTCTCTTCAAACGTGCATTTTACAGCCATGATTCATTTCTAAAATTACTCATAATAGCAGGGTGATTGAGATAGCAGAGTGTTGTAGTGATGGAGAATTAACTCATAATATGATCACATCATTATACATAAGTCATGATTAAATAAACAGTGATGCATCATGATATCTTATCTAAGTATCAGATGATCTCATTCATTTTTATAGATAAATACAGAACAGAATTTATCTGGCACAAAATAGAGGATCTCAATTAGTGTGACAAACAGACTTTTAACAGATAATAAATAATAAACAACCTATTTTACATGACTGAATCTCAAAACAGTGACATAATTTAATTTTGGAATGAATGCATTTAGAATCATCCAAACAACTTCTGTGCAGTGATTCCAGTGAGTAAGTGAACCATTTTGTTTTTGAATGGATTCATTTAGAATCATCTGAACATCATTTGTGTAGTAAATGCCAATGAATCGGTGAATCATTTTGTTTTTGAATGGATTCATTTAGAATCATCTGAACATCATTTGTGCAGTAAATGCCAGTGAGTCAGTGAATCGTTTTGTTTTCTCAACCGATTCATTTAAAACCATTCAAAAAATTTCTATGCAGTGATTCCAATGAATCAGTTAGTCATTTAGTTTTTTGAATGGGTTAGTTTGGAACCAAATTAAACAACTTCTGTGCAATGAATAAGCAAATAATAAAATTTTTCAATGGATTTATTTAGAACCATCAAAACAACTTCTTGCAGTGATTTTAATGAATCAGTGAATTATTTCGGTTTTGACTGATTCATTTAAAACCATCTGAATAAACCTATTCACTAGAATGAATCAGACTTTCAGTTCTACATATTAGAAATCCTCTCCATCTCATATCAAATTATTTCTCAGTACATTTGCTCTATTTTCATGTTTTAATTAAGCTCATTCTGTTTAAATCTCTTTTGTACAGGTGTGACAGTCCGAAGTGTGACGGCAGTGGTGTGGCAGCTGACCGAGGCTCTGCAGACAAATCCGTAGATGTCGGTGAGTCTCTGTCCAGAGCTGCCCTTCAATCCAGAATAACACTGTCGTGACTAATAAGACTTATGTCAAGAATAATAATCCATATCTAATCCGATTACAACAGCTGTCTGTCCATCTCACTTCATTCACTTCCATTCCTGGAGATGTGCGATTACGGTCTACGATTACGTGTTTTTTCCTGTGTTTGTGATTCATATGCATGTGATATATATGTGGTCCTGTGTGTTTATGTTTGTATTTGTGTGACACTCGGCTGAAGATGTAGAAGACTTCGACTCCATCGTCTTATCCACAGAGAAGCTGAACCACCCGACCACGTCACGGCCCCGTGTGACGGACCGACGGCCACGATCGCAGATCTTCACATCTGTGAGTCCACCAGTGTTATATTAGTAGAGATACTATTATATTTTTTTTTTTAAAGATTTCATAATTTTGTTGTATTTCTGGCTTTTTTTTTTATATGTCTATATTAATAAAGTCTCTGGCTGCTTAATATTATTTAATATAATATTATTATTATTTAAATTATTATTTAATATCATTTATTATTTTACTTTTAGTTATTTTAGTACATTAAGTTAAACTAAAAGAAAATAAGAAGCATTGCTTTGTCAACAGTTTTTTTTTATGTTTATTTCAGTTCATTTTTATTTTATTTCAAGTAACAAAAATGTTTTTTTATGGTTTTAGTTAACTATAATAACCCTACCACACAACATAAACATGCTGGTTTGTTATTATTTTTAACCAATTAATGTGTCAAGTCAATCATGTTTGGTTGTTTTCACACCTATCAGATGCAATCAGCTGACGACGTCATATGTTTGTGAGCCTTCAGGTGTTCAACGTTAATCCGTCAGATGTGATTGTGCTATTTGCTATGTGTGAATGTCACATGGGCTTACCCTGCTTCGCCTGTCTGTGGGTTATCTGGTCACAATCATTTAAAAATCTCTCTCCTTCTTAGTTCTCTCTCTCTAGTCCTGACCTCCTGGACTCCCCATCTCCAGAGGAGGAGAGGAGAGACAAGGAGATGGGAAAGGAGGAGCAGGACTCATTCATTCCCAAAACTCTTGACAACTCCAAGAAGATGCCCAAGGCAGTGCCAGTCATAACAGTAAGCCCCGCCCCCTCCCAGTGAACCCAACCCCCTGATACCCACCCATCCTTTTGCATGCACATCCCTGTCCTACCACAAGGGAGCGCCCTAGTCAAGCATTGTATGTACAGTGACACAGAAAAGTATTACTTTTGGATACTTAAGTCACACTTCATTTTTAAATATATGTTATATAATGTAAAGGTATTCTTACATTTTAAGTGTAAGTTCAGTTAAGTGTAAGGATAGGTCACCCAAAAATGAAAAGTTTGTCATCTTTTATTCACTCTTGTGTCATTCCAATCTTGTATGACATTCTTTATTCTGTGGAACAAGGAGGAAATTAAAAGAAAGCTTTATTTGTCCATACATTAAAAGTCAATGGGGTCCAATAAAGTGCTGCATGTTCACATGTTTTCAATGTCACCACCATTAAGTTTCCAACAACTCTTTCGATCTTTATTTAAAAAGCATTTTCCCTGAAAGTTTGAGTTAGAATTGTTAAAGAATGTGATTATAAACACAGCAAGGCTGTACAGATGAGTTTACCTTGTTCTTTTCTTCTGTTAGGTTTTGGCCTAAAAAATATGTCATCCCTGCAGCACTCTGTTTTGTTTTGGACCCCACTGACTTTCAATGAATGGACAACAGTTCTTCAAAATATATTCTTTTGCGTTCCACAGTACAACAAATGTCATACAGATTTGGAATGACGTGAGGACGACTAAATAATGTTAGAGTTTACATTTTTGGGTGAACTATCCCTTTAAGTGTCCAAATACTTGCACTGTATATACCCTCATACACAAACACACACAGAGACTGAGGCCCTGTGGAACGGCCTGAAATGGAAGACAAACATCTGAGAGTAAATGTGTTTGATAAGCTCTTGTTCTGATATCTCATGGGGGTTTTCCACAGGCTCCTGAAAAATCATCTTTGCCCCCTAAGCCCAGTGCCCCTCCATCATCTTCTGGGTCCAGTGGGGCTTCTCTCCACCAGGGCAGCGCTGGTCTGCGGCCCCATTCCCCTTCGGTTGATGCCAGAGTGAAGAACGAACAGGGTACCTCCACGCTGGAGGAGCTCAGAGCACAATTACGAGACCTGAAAGGAACTGTGGAGCTCATGAAGAGCCAGCACAAGTATGAACCGGCGGGATGGGGTCGGGACTGTGGGTTAGATGAAAGACAGACAGAGTGAAGTAGTGAAAAAGGGAAAAGAAATTGTCAAGAAGTGGTGGAAATTCGATGTAGGAAGAACGAGTTGATTGATTGTCTGTGAAATGCGTGTAATTCTCAAATTTGTTTTCTCAGACAAGAAATCAAACAGCTGGTGAGCGAACTGGATGAGGAGAAGAGGATTCGTATATCACTGCAGGTGAGGAGACATTATACTAGTCATAAACGTAGCCCTAACCAGGTGCAACACCATTTTATAGTGATTAAAACAATCTTAAACAGCCAAATATGTATTATTATTATTTTATTTATTTTTTATTTTATAATATAATAAATTTCTTTTTTTTTTCCATTTAATATATTTTTTATCATTTTAATGTTATTTATTGTTTCATTATTTCATGTTAAGATATTAAGACATGCTGAACTTATAACTGTATTTTCTATTTTCAAATATTTTACAAAATTTTTAGTAAGTAATGTAAGTCATTTAAATTCATCAATTTTGTTAATATATATTTTTTTTAAATCTTACACTGGCTTACAAAAACTTTTTTTTTTTTTATATATATATATATAAATACTTTCATTCAGTAAAGGCACATTGCAAGGTTCAAACGTGACAGTAAAGAGTTGTAACTTTTTTTTTTTTTTACATAGTTTACAAAATTTTTTAAATAAATGCTTTTCTTTTGGTCTTCATTACAGAATCCTGAAAAAAATGTATCTCAGTTTTCACAAAAAAATTGCAGCACTACTGTTTTAAACATTGATAATAATAATAATTATAAAAAATCTTATTTTTAATAAATGCATTGAATATATTTAAGAAATTATGTAAGAAAATAACAATCTCACTAAAATGTCTTTAGTTTGTAGAATTAATTATAATATATAGATTTTATTACCCAAATTAATAATTATATATTTATATATATATATATATACACACTGAACAAAATTATAAACGCAACACTTTTG